TACAAAGTAAGATGTAAAAGACAGGTCAAAATTAGGAATTTAGAACTGCCACTGGGGTAGAAGGCACGAGAACAATACGGAAGAGTTATGTAAATAGTATTAGGGATTAAGGAATAGTCATGTAGAGTAGCATTAGTGAATAGTTGTAGTAAGCAGTAGTGCGAATAGTGCTACGTATGTAAGGACTGTGGCCGTGAAAACCTGGTGTTAGGCGGCCACAGATCTCTGTATATAGTCTAAACCAAATATATTGTATTGTATTGTATTGAGTCGGGCTGATCATTCATCCAAGGAGTCCTACCGCCGTCCAAACAGATTAATTGAATAAAAACCTTGACACCTAGGGGTAAAAGAGCAAGGAGAAGAAGAAGAAACACGCGTTGCAAAGAACACATGAGTATATTAAGTGTGTTTCAGTACGGAATACAGTTCCCAAACTTTTTAATTCTGTCAACAGCGGATTTATGTCTGCAATAGATCAAACTCAAGGCGAAGCAGTCAAGAACGCATTTGGTGAAAATGTAGACGTCCTTCGAACCTTCGAACGGCCTGTCGAGTAACACGTGTTGTCGGAGTTCAAAAGTTTATTTAAAGTTACAGCTCCGTCAGAATCACATGTGTAATGTGTCTTCAGGTGTATCAACTATCGGAAACTGCAGGATGGCTGGAAGTAGTACCTCCCACTTTCGATGCAACAGGCTCACGACTAGTCACAGTGTTGCCACAGGATCAAGGTGACGGATACGGTAACTACGCACAAGTTACACTGCTTTCTCGAGGTGCAACGCTACGAGAAACTATGGCGACAGAGACTCCGCTAACTTCCGGACGATCGGTCGTGACGTACATATATGGATGGGATAGAATCAACGACATCATGTGAGTACGAGCGCAGGAATGGCTGATAAAAGCGTTAGTGTTTTAAAATAGTGAATTAGAATTTTATTTAAGGTGTGTATAAAATGGAATGGATTCGATTGGTTTATAGAGTATATACACAAAATATATTTAGAGTTGACTGGGGAATGAATAGTTGTGCTGAAATGTATGCTTTTAGTTAATATGCCCAGTCTCAGTAGGCCCACTTAAATTGATTTGCAATGATTACACACACACACACACACACACACATATATATATATATATCACTGCATAAAACATATGCACACCGCATAAGCTATACATTGTGCTAGGAGCTATTAATTTTATTTGAAACGCAGCTAAAGTTGCTACAAGAATAAGTTACATTTGATAATATTAAGAACGGTACAACGGCTTTTATTTTTCTAGTCATTTTCTTCGTGTGCTTAAATGAAGCCTGTAGCAAAATTCATATAAGTAAATATTTATCTGACTTATTTTCCATCAAGAACTGTCTGAAACAAGGAGATGCTTTGTCTCCCTTGCTCTTTAACTTTGCGCTAGAATATGCTATCAGGAAGGTCCAAGATAGGCAGGAGGGTTTGCCGTTGAATGGGACACATCAGCTATTGGCATATGCTGATGATGTTAATTTATTGGGGGACGATATGAATACAATAAAGAGGAACGCAGAAGTTTTACTAGAGGCTAGTAGACAGATGGGGCTAGAAGTAAATTAAAAAAAAACTAAGTACATGTTTGTATCTCGTCGTCAGCAGACAGGCGATCTTAGGGTGGCTAACAAATCCTTTGAATGTGTGACAAAATTCAAATATCTAGGAACAACAATAACAAATCAAAATGATACTCATGAGGAAGTTAGGAAGAGATTAAATTCTGGAAATGCTTGCTACTTCTCAGTTCAAAATATTTTGTCTTCCCGTCTGATTTCTAAGAACCTGAAAATTAAAGTATACAAAGCAATAATTCTGTCTGTTGTTTTGTATGGGTGCGAAACATGGTCTCTCATTCAGAGGAAGGAACACAGATTGCAGGTGTTTGAGAACAGGGTGTTGAGGAGGATAGTTGGGCCTAGGAGAGAAGACGATGGGGCGTGGAGAAAACTGCATAATGACGAGCTTAAAAATCTGTACTCCTCCCCCAGTATTGTCAGGGTGATTAAATCGAGAAGAATGAGATGGGTGGAGCATGTGGCGCGCATGGATGGGACAAGAGGTGTGCACCAAGTATTGGTCAGGAAGCCTGAGGGGAAGAGACCGCTGGGGAGACCTAGACGTAGATGGGAGGATAATCTCAGGCGGGATCTATGGGAGACAGGAGTTGAAGGCGACTGGTTTGTGTTGGCCCAGGGCGAGGGACAGGTGGAGGGCTTTGGTTAATTCGGTGATGAACCTTCGGATTCCGTAAGCCATCTAGTTTGTTCGTTAGTTAGTCATTTCTTCGTATATTTCCGATCTTTTTTCCCTTAATTCTACTTACCTTTCTCCCCGTTTTGACTCTTTGTTTACACACAGCTACTACCAATCGACACCTGTCAACGAGCCATCACAGCGCCACGTGTATTCGGTGGCAGCTGATGGAAGCAGCGCTCCGTACTGCTTGTCATGCAAAGTACATACTCTGGAAGGCCGCGCCTGCCTGTACGCCTCTGCTTCATTTAGTGCAGACTTCAGTCACTTGGCGCTGACGTGCTCTGGCCCAGACCCACCTCACGTGTTCTTGTACAGGTCAGACAGTGATTCCCCGCTTGCAATTTGGGAAATTAACGAGGATCTGAGACAGAAAATCGAAGGTCGAGACCTACCGCAGATACAGAACACCGAAATAAACGTGCCCGGCGGATTCCAGGCAAAGGCACGCCTCTGGCTACCACCTGGAGCAGACACCAGCGGTCGGACGAAATATCCGATGCTGGTCTACGTGTGAGTATAACAACAGTCCGACATGTCACAGCGATAAAACTGATAATGAGCATAGCATTTTGTCACCGATATTTTGACGCAAATTATCTTACGATCTATGTTTGGCTTGTACACTCTCAATGGTCGAAGAGACAAAAAAATACAAGTACAGTATCGCAGCGTTTCATACCACATTTACTGCCATCCTACGCAGTGCTGATGCCCTGTGACTGCCATTTTTCAGTGCGAGTTTGGGTGTGTTAAACACGAGTAGTAAAAAACTGAATATTTTGGAAACTGTCTGAAAGCATAACATGAAATTTTCATGTTACCGTTAATGCTACTTTAGGGTGTGATGTATTACATAACTATTCGCCTTCACGGAACACGAAATTGTTCTGAGCGAGAATTTCGCTTGTAAGCACGTAAATCGATAACATTATAACTTCCTTTATCATGTGCGGAAGTGTATTTGAGTGACATCTTTAGGAGATACGAACAACTACGCAGGATGTGCTTCGCGCTGACGACGCGTTTAGCAGTAATAGTTTTTGTTTCGTGAGAGCTTCCACCACAATATTTATGTAGCGTTTTGTTGCAAGTTCAACAGGAATTATGAATTTGAAATTAAATGGCCTGTCTTGAGATAATATTTCACTATTTGCCTGTTTGGAACAATAGAATCAGTTTCTTTCTCTGTTTTTCAAGTGGCTACTTTCCAAGAAGATTTCTTGCCAAATTTCTGTGTCAGTTACATAAACACTACAGAAAACACTCTACAGCAAACGTTCTTCAGTGAGCAGATGATGTCGGTCAAGACATTGTATGTTTTCGTGTACTAATTTTTAATTATCGTGTTCGTGAAAGCCCTTTATT